GGTCTATGCATGAAACCAAAACAACTCGCGGTGCATTGTTGTGTTAGCATGCTAATGCTAACGATCTTATTATTATTATTATTATATTATGCTCGTATCTTCACACTGCATGTAAATTTACTTGAAATGACTGTGATCTAGAAACACAGTTAAGCAGTGAGTACAGTATGTTATTCTTCTTTTCTCTAGTCCCTCAATTAAACAACTTTTATATACGAGGGGAGGAGTCAGCCGGCCGTCCCGCCGATGTAAACAAAGTGAACATAGGACTCTGAAAACTCTGAAAACATCACAGACAGTGGGACTCGGGTGTTACACTCATTGTAGACAGTCATGACTCAGAGTTATTTTCAGAGGATATACTTGATTTCTATTACATTTAAGTGTGAAAAATCACATATAAAGCCTTTAAGCAATGACTTTAACCCTAAAACTTATGAGTGATACATGTAGTATTAGGGAAGCATTAAGGATGGGTTTAGGGGAGAAATATAACTGAGCGTGTTCTAAAGAGTCAAAATAAACACAAGAGCAGAGAAAGTGTTGTAAAATCCATTAGAGCATAACAACCATCAACATGTAAATCCTTTTTAAATTGACAAGGCACTCAAGTGCACAATCCAGTATTGTAGTCTACCTTCCAGAAACATGTTTCAACTTTGCAGAATGATACAAATGCTAGCAAGAACTGACGCCTGCTAGCAGAGTATGGTAGATTGTACTACATTTACAACTCCTTAATAAAACTTGCTATGTCTCCGCTTGCAGTGATTTTAAAGTTGTATCACTGAGGCCACAGAGGCAGCGTAACTAATTGTTTCTGTGTGTTTGATCCTCCCGTGTTCTGTCTCATCACTCTCTCCATACCTCACCTGCCAGGAAAAGTTATGAGGACGCTGCTTCTCCACCCCACAAACCAGACGGAGAGATTTCTCAAGCAAACAAACCATTAATTTGGTTTTAAAACAAAAGGAGTAGCACATTTGGATAATTAATTATGAATAATGCATACTTAGCTGTTGCTAACATTGATGTTAAAACGAAAACACTTAATGGTAGGATATTTATTTTCTTAACGCACATGTCAGCTGTTAATGTAAGAGTTACATCAGCTTGATGATTCTTTCTGTTGTTGTGATCTCACGTGTCAGGGACCTCGCTGCACGGTTGGCAGAAGCGTGACAAGTAGGTAGATGCAATTTCTTACAATTAAAAATAGCACTGCTGCCATACTCTTTAGCAGAGTGCTAGAGGCCATGAACCTTACTCATGTCTCTGTAGTTTTATGTTGGGCTGTGACAGAAAGCAACTACTACCCCACAATTCACATTTTCATGTAAATATATGTAATATTTTCACTTCAGAGCACTAAATTAAATTGGTCACTTTCACCACATTTCATGAAACACAATTGAGGTATTGTGAATCAACCTGTATATTGCAGCTGTCTGATAGCTGCTGTGGAGACTATAAGTGTCACTGTGCATCAGTCCTCGACATTTTTTTGTGTGCCATAGCATAAAAGAGACTGAATCAAATTTACACAGAGATATGAATTGCTTAAATTGACTTGTTAATTTTACCCCCCCCCCCCCCCCCCTTGCACAAACAGGACTACAGCAAACAAACACTCATACAGTTAGGGGAATGAATACATAAAGAATATATGTGGTCTAAATATAAATGGTACAAAAGTATCAGTTAGTCAATTTGCATGCATGTCTTTCCTGCAGCCTCCCAAACACACATACACACACACACACACACCCCAGGGCGCCTTCTTTATCAGTGCAGCTCACATTGGCACTGACACATGCATTGCCAAGACTGCCAGGCTACAGCCATGCTAATGTAGCCCGTTAGTCTAACAAAGGCGCAGGTCAATGGAGCCTCCAGTGGCTAATTGCTTCAGAGAGATAAGTGAGTTTGACGACGCAGCAAGGAACGGCTCAGCGAAAAGGAAGCAGCGAGGGGGAAGATGTTAATGAATCCCCTGTTCACTCCTCCGTCAATATCAGCCCGTCGCAGGCCCACCGCAAATGAATATTAAAGACACTTTTGATTGTTTGCCGTATTTTTTTGTGTGGTTTCATTGAATATTTAATGGGTTGTTTTGTGGTGTTTTTGTCACATATTCTATGCTGGGTAAGAGAGTGGAGCTAATGCAATTAATCCCCACACCATCACATGAAGGCTAATCAGCTGTGGTAGCCAGTAAAGTCACATGGCCACGATGCACTAATATAAGACGCTGCACTAGAATACTGAATGATGTAGACTGGGGGCACTGTGTCTAGAGTGTGCTGAGTGATGATACAATACAGTTAGAAAGAGTCTGAACAATGTTTTTCTGAGAGCGTTTGTGCACATGTCTGAGCCCATCAGAGTAATTATATGTCACGGTTGTTAGCCTAAAGATTTGAGCTTTTGAAGGAAACATTTTGGTTTGAGTTGATTTGCTCCCTCTGAAGTGACAGCGACAAGAGCAGCGAGTGCCATCCGGAACTGATAACGCAGATCGGATCTTCTTCATCAGCTAATCTCCTTCTGACTTATATTAAATCAATGTCAACTTTTTTTTAGACAGCAGGACTCAGAGTCTGTTTCCTCTGCAATTGCAAAGCTCTTTTCCAAGAGTAGACTCAAGTTGTCACAAATCTCTCTGCCTCTGACAAACTCACTTCATCTGAAGATTACCATTCTCGCTGAACATGAAGCTGAAGCCATATTTCCTGGATATGGCTGGAGGCTAATACAAATTGGACTTGACAAAAGATGATGCATAAGCCGAGACAACGCTGTTTCATCCCTTTATTTCTCCCTCTCTAGGTAGCGATTGTGTGAATTGCCGCTGTGTGTGATGATGGACTGTGGATGCGTTTGGTTTGACGATCCAAGTGGCCTCTTGGGAGACACCCGGGCTTTGTGCATAAACAAATACATACTTAAAATACTCTTCACACATTCACTCTTAAGACGCCATAGCTATACCTCTGTATCTCTTTTTTTATTTTAGGTAGCCCATCATTCTTCCATTCCCACTCAAACTGCCTATCTGGCTCTCATTAGCATGTTATTTTGCATTCATGGCCTCCATGCTGTTTGTTTTCTTCAGTGGGTCTTGCCCTCTGGGTCCAACCATTTGCTAACCCGTTGAGATGAAAGCAACCACTCTCTGTGGGATATTTGGTAGGCTTGACACCTGTTGACACACCACAGAGATATCCAGAGATATCGCTAACAGTTAAAAGCATTTTTTTTTACTGAATAATGTCTCTGTTTGCTAAATTCCTACAGTGAGCAGAATCCTTTCATAATTGTTTAAACCAGTTGGTAAAAAGGATGTTGGAAGTGGGTTTGCAGGTTTTTCCTGCAAGGAATGTACAATATATACAACCATGGCTAGAACGTGATACCTGCTTAATTCGCATGCTATATAACATCTCATTAAAAGTGAATATGGTAATAAAAAATCCCTCCCAGATACCTTGAGGCCTCTTACCAAGTTCAGTTGTTTTCTGTCCCATAGATGTGAAAAAGCAGCATGTGAGCTGCTGCAGGGCTGTCCACCCTGCACAGCAGTTGCAGATATACATACTGTGCTCTTTCCAGATTTTGTTGTTAACTAGTGGTGACCTGAGACAAGCTGTGAATCTGTTCCTACCAGGCGTTAGCAGGAAGGGACGAAAGTTGAACTTACAGCGTCAAACAGCAGCCACAAGAGAGCAGCGCAGCGCAAATTGTCCTCAAATATTGATTCTGCTGCAGAGAGCCGTGTAAGGACGGAGACAAGGCGCCAGGCTCATCTGCAGAACACCAAACCTCAGAGGGAGAGAGAGAAAGCGAGTTAGGGAATGAGGGGAGGAGAGATGATGAGGAAGTATACAGAGCCCTCATACAGTTTAGTGATGAAACGCTACTGAGACATTTTTGCTTTATCCTGGCTGTAATTTAAGCTTGTCACTACCTAGTTCTCTTAAGTGTCTGTATATGTGAGTTGCAGTGAGTTGCAGGATGGGAAGCCACTTAAACTTCAAAATAGAGTGTTTCATTTGAATATAGTCGTATGTGCTTGTGTGAGAATGCAGTTGCAGAGTGTCATTGTATTCCCACTCTAAATGGACCACTGTTGCAGAGACACTGCTCAAGGAAAGAGGGCATTGTGGTGTGACTGTAGGCCTAAAAATATTCCATGTCAGTAGTCCCGAGAGGAGCCCAGTGCTTTCCAGGCCTCTCAGTAATGAGAGAGAGGAGCTGCCTGCCACTGGTAGCCCTGCTGTCCCCCAGCTCCCTCCGGCTCAGAGCTCAGCGCTGGTGCTGGCGCTGGAGAGGCAGTGGCTCAGCTTCCACAGATTTATCATAGCTCACAAAGCAGCCCGTCTGAAAGCAGAGGCTCTCATTCGCAGAGGAGCAGCCCCCCCCCCCCCCCCCGCCCCCGGCGGGCTAACCCCTGGGCACACTGACCCGACACATTCACATATCAGAGAGGCAGACAGAAACAGTTTGAGAAAGACTTGCACTTGGATGTGTGTCTGCGAGAGAAAAAATGGATTTGGAAAGCATGGGAACAGAAAGTAGCACACTCGTACAAACGGCTAAGAAAAAAAAGTTTTGACTGTGAGGATACGCAATGTGGCTGAAAAAAAGAGAAAAACAGGAGGAATCCAAGTCAATCTAGACAGTGATGATTGAGAAATATTAGGTTGTTGTTTGGAAAGCTTCACCATTGCATTCAATCAGTTAATGACTTTCCAGGAATGGGGAAAGAACTGTTTTCCATGGTCAAACTGCATGGAGATACAGACAGAGGAACTGGCTATTATTTCAGTGTATCTGACAGAAGCATGTATAATTGCATCTTTTGACAGAGGTTTTGCAACACACATTCATAATATTGTCTTCCATTTAAAACAGCTTGTAAAGATAAATAATCTGAACATTAAGACAGAGAAAGAAAATATTCACAATGAATGGAAATAACACAAAGACAACTCGTCCTCCTTGTTTGAACATTTTATGGGCCTCCTTTTAGTGAACATAAGAGATGTCACAGTCTGAATATGTGAGATCTGAGATATCTAACTTTGAAGGCTGATATTGGAAAAAGTCTTCTGGACAAAAAGGAAAGGAAAGGAGTCGGGTGAGTCACATTTTGCTACTTCATATTGTTCCAAGCTGTATGTAAGCATGGCTCGATTCTATGAGCTATTTTGACCAATACCTAATCAGGGCAAATGGAGAATGATTTTTTCTTTTTCATCTACTTCAAGTGTCAGACATTCAACAAAATGCTCCACCTTCAATTTCATGTGACATCCACAGCAAAGGATGAGAGATATCTAGAAAAACAAAACATTCCCAAACGGTTTCAGCTAGTGCAAATATCTTACATGAATTTTTAATATGCTGTTATGTTCTTACACTGAAATTCCTAATTAGAACTGCAAAATGAGCCACGCAAAACAGTCTTTATGTTTGTGACTTGACCCACAAGAGCAATTTTGATGCTAATTTGCTATTTGCTAGTTATCGACTGCTATCGCTTTCATTTCTCCCAGATCATCTCTTAAGTATCTCCAGTAGAAGCTCTACATAGACAACAGGTTTGAGCTGTGGAATACAGCACATCTGACACTCATCCACAAACGCTTTGTTGAAATATATTCTTAAAAATGCTAATTCTGTGTTTGAAATCGACCCCTGATCATTCCATACTCTGTCCATCATTTATAAATATGAGTACATTAGAGTCCAGATGTACCCTGGATGTCCATGATTGTAGGCCGTTGGTCTCACAAACAAGCATTCTGTGTATGCTTTATGTGTCGCTCCACTTAGCCAAGTGAACATAGTTTGTGAAGAGTGCATTCTTTTTTATTCCATTGTTTTGTGATGGATGGCCTGACAGCGGTCCTTTTCCTTGATATTTTTCCCACTGTACAGTAAATATGTGTGAGTCATCCATCTCTTCCACATGGAGAGTTTCAGGTTTCCTTGTGCCTCGCTGGCTCTCTTGCTATCGTGTGACCTAAAAAAGAAACCGTACAACAGATAAGAGAAGTGTCAGTGTCAGGGAGATATCTAATTACACAAAGTGACTCTGATTCTTGTTTAACAGTTTCCATTTGAAAAGATCCAATCAGGTTAGGAGGAGAATATATACCAAATCACACCATTTCCACTGCCTTCGTGTCCTTTTTTTTTTGATTGGAAATATTTGTTTTGTTACCCTAGCTGCCTGACTGATTGCATGGACAAACTGCTAGAGATGGATTTCACATGTCTGCAAGCTGTAATGGTTTGTTTACATTTGGGCAGTAAGTTGAAGGCGTGTAATTGGAACTGTACAGAGCTTGTTTTCCATCAACAAACCTCATCTAATATGCATTTATAAAGAACAGCAATGCTTGTTTATTTAATGATTTCATGTTTTTTCATTCCTGAAATGCTGTAAAAAAATGTACTATAAAGAAAGATGTTTGTAATGGGACATGTGCAAATATGTATCTTGAGGTGCAGCATCTTTGCTGTTCCTTGTTAAACAGAATTCCAGTGCCTTGGTCAGGCAAACTATGCATTTTTCTACTGCACACCTACGCTGTGTGGGAGTGAAAACAGATGGACAGATACAGATCATCATGGTGAATGAGACGCTGAGGTGGTGAAAGGAGGCCATGGGTAGAAAGAGAGAGATGCAGGATAAAGAAAAGAAAGAAACAGAGGGAGCGAGGTTGCAGGGCCGTTTGAGCGGTTGCCAGGGAATCGATGTGTCATTGCAACTATCTTCAGTGACATCTGCCATCAAGTCTCCAAGTAACTGCTCCCTGGTCCCAAAGCACCTTGCAAATGCACAATTAATGTCCACTGATGCAGTCAGCCATTGGCTCCTCATTTCTCCCTCAGCTGATCGACCAGTCAGACAGGGTGGAAGAAAAGGAGAGAAGAAGAAGAAGAGAGACGGCAGTGTGTAACAGAATGAGGATAATTGCCCCTATAGGTCCCAAGGTTGGTGTTAGGCCCAGGGTCATTAATTCTACTGCCTGTGACTGAGCCCAGCAGGACCTCTGTTCCTCAGTCTATCCCACTCACCAATTTAATTATGACTCTTAATTGTAGCGCCTCTGTGGAAGGCCCCCGCCATAATGCATTCTAATGAATGCGACAGATGTTGTGCTGTTATGCCATCTCTCGAGCAATTACTCTTATGGCGCCTGTATCGCTTCCTCTACAACTTGTTAATTTTTTTTTTTATGTTTCACCTGTAAATAAACTGCAGCTGCTCCATCAAACTACAGACACTGTTGTATGTACATACACACACCCCTGTCGTCAGTCCCGCAAATTAACTTTCACACCTCAACAGCTTACAAAGGGCCGTGGAGGACCTTCATTTAAATCAATCTGTCTCATCTGAAACTCAGTCAGTTAACATGGCCTCACACACAGGTTGTTTATGGTATACAGAGTGTAAAGAGGGCCTGTGATTTCTCCATTGGTTCATAGTAAAAGTTGGCTGAGCAGGTACAAGGGCAGATTAACAATTAGACTCATTGTTGGGACTTGTTTGCTGATTAGCTCTGTATTGTTCTTGAAAGTCTTTTTTTATGTTTGAAATAGTGATTTAATTAGACCACATTCTTTTGTAAGTATTTCAAAGACCCGAGCAGCTTTTGTGCTGGAGATCATCTTTAATTTTCTCTGTAAGCTCCTTTGAATTCTTCCTTTTACAGTCAAATAAATGACAAGGCATAGCAGTAAGAGTGCTTCGGTTGAAAGTTTGTTTACCAGACACAAATTGAGCCAAGATGTTTCACACAGGGGGAAAAAATCTATTCAATTGAAGATCCTGCTCGATTATGGCTACATGAAATGTTAGTGAAGCTGGAAGATAAACAGTAGAGAATTCATCTATTATTCCAGGCCAAGGTGTGATTCTCAGGGGACTGTTTGTTTTGAACACTAATAAGGTTCCGTGCTTTGTTATTGCTTAGAAATTTAACTAATCAAAGACGCCACGATAATTGGAATTGGCTTGATAAACAGTGACCCTAAATGAGCACAGAAATAAAGCGCACACACAACAAATAAAAAAAAATTAGAAAAGCAACAACAGATGCTCATCTTACCTTTGTGGTCTTTACTTTGTTGCCAGTGCTGCAGGACCAGCCGGTCAGGTCAGGCAGCACCTTACACTCCTCTCCGTCCATACACGGCTGCATCTGGCACCACCACTTTTGGGCTACTATGGAGGCTGGAGCAGCACATGGAGGGAAAAGAAGGACAGCAGGTTAGTGAGTAGATGGTAAATAACGATGAAGAGAGCTGAATTAGTAACAAAGGGTGGCAAAAGGATACAATACAACGTCACCATTACCTTCACACTGACATGAAACTGGACTTCATATCAACAGCCCAAATGAACTTTTTTATTCAAACATGGTAGCAAACCTCGGCTTATTTTTACAATGTTAATGCCCCACCGCTGTCCATGGTGCTGATCTTACTGCTGGAAGAATAACTAACACTGTAAACTACACTGGTGAAACACCCTGTTTTTTTTTCTGTTGTATTCACTGTTATCTCTGAGCAGTCATGTGTGTTTTCAACTGTGATTTTTACAGGAGCTAGAATTTATATCAGGTACCTGTATTATTTGATTTAGAATAATGTAATCTCCAATCATGGGATCTAAAAACTGGTGTAGAGCATCAATTCTGACATAAGCAAAAAAGAATACAAAACGTGAAATGGGGAAAAAGCAGAAGATATACTACTTAGGCAGCAATGACTATTATAATTGAAGTATTTGGATAAAACAATGGGGCTAACTAATCCAAGAAATTAGTTACTTTCTAACTTTTAGTAATATGAATGAAATGACTGCTTTCACCTAACTTCTCCTTTGTTTCTGTTAAGATAAGAATAACACAAGGCACATCATTTTGGTGATAAGTATTATTCAGTAACTCAGTCTGTAGGGACCTGGGTTGGAAACTGGAAAGCCCCACTCTAACATTTCTCCATTAATGCCCATAGGTCCAGGCAGGTGTGTAATTCAGGCCTATATGTGTGAGAAGCATGTCTCTCAATAACATCTGTTATACACTAAATACTTAATTATGTAAAAATCTAATTACTTAACAAAGGGAGAAAGAGCAGAGTTGTGATAAAGCAATGCTATCTATTGAAACAGACATGCTCTCATGTATTTAGGACAACAGACCGTATGTTCTATTCTTTAATTAAAAACCCTTTTCTGAAACCCAGTCTCCTGCATATTATGCATGAAGGTAAACAAATCTGAGTGTGGTCTTTTTAGTATCAGTGCATCTTAATTAAAAAAATATATAAAGTGATCATTTCCTGTATATCTGTGTGAAAGAAGGCACAGCTTCAGAACTGGACCTGTTGTACAGCTAATCAAGTGTTAAGACCCCAAGTTTTCTCATGCCTTAGCAGCTGACACTCAAATCTCGCAGATCATCTGACCCACTGTCTAGACAGCAGACAGCCCGACAGCTGAGAATAACTCAAATCCCTCTCTCCTAATTCATCATCCATCCACCCTTCTGTCTCAAGTGTGGACGCAGGGAGGACTAAAAGAGTGCACCCATTTCTCCAACTTCATTAAACTGGTGGATTGATGATGTTTTGAAATATGTATTTTGTTTTATCTTCAGTGCCGATTGTTTCCAACAAAGAGAGGAGATGAGTTGGCATTGGCAGGGAAAAAAAAGACTTTCAACTGCGTAACACAACAGAAACATCGCTCAAGTATCATGTAAGAAGAAAGAGAAAAGAAGGAGGAAGATATCGTTAAATAATAAGTGTTCACCGAGAAATAAATCTTTGTAGTGAGGGAAATGAGAAGTGGTTTGAACTAAGAGAGGCAGAGCTGGAGATCGGGAAGGGAGACGAGAGGATTTTTGAAGATGACTGCCACCAGGTCTAACAAAGAAAGCAGAAGATGAAACAAAGAGGACAGAGGGAAGGCGAGTTAAGAAACTGAAAATGAGTGGAGAATAGGCTGTACAAGTCCAAAGACACAGACAGGAAGACATGTAGAGAGAGGAAGAAACCCAATATGCCAAGTCACCACAACAATACAGTAAACACTGGGCATAATGTAGAACACATTGTTATGATGCATGAGCTCAGTGGCAGCGAGTGGTTCTAAAAACCAATGGCTGTGTAATGCTCGTTAATGTGGCCATTATGGTGTCGACGACCGTGCTTTACACTGCGAGAGTGTTATTTAGAGCTAATAGGCATGGCCTGTGAGTGCTATTATGGAGTTAGTGTTCACTGCAGTTTATCTCATGTTGTATTGGGAGGGCGGGTCAGGTGTGACACACGAGCAACTGCCTGTCAAGTCAGACATTAACAGTCGCTGGGGTAAGGCCTGTGATGTCATGCGTGGTTTAGATGTTGGACAGCACTTACAGACAGGTCTCCACAGGTCAACGATAAAGAGATTACAGAGGTACTTAGTGTGTCTGTAGTAGTTCATTCTGACATCATCACCTCTGGGACTACTTTTTTTTTTCTGCGCCCCACTTATAGTAAATGCGGAAGCGGTAGGTTTGGCAGGATGTGATGCCTTCAGGGTAAGCTATTGTACAGATGGCCTACTGCCAATACATTTAGGCTCTTTTGCATTTCACACAAGCAGTTTTTTCTTGATACTACCAATGACCGCTTCAAACTAAAAACCATTACAGTTCAGACACCATAAATCTTGTCCCTAGCCCACATTCTAAATCCACATTCAGGTGTCCGGTTATATAGATGTGGTTTGAACAGAGTACAATACAGTCCTTATATCAATTATTCGTCATTTGTAATATTGTGTCATCTGTACAATAAACGAAGTAAGGTACAAACTTTGAATTCAGGTCAAACATAGAAAACTGTCTTTAATCACAAATTGTCAGATTTCAAACTTTAGTTTCTGAACTACATCAGGTTAATAAATAAACTCTAAAGACACAAGTAGTTTGAATCTGTTGTCTTTGCATGGAGCAAATCTATTTGTTTCCCACTTTTTTTCCCACAGTCCTTTGGCTATTCTTTGTTAATGGTATCCTGACTGAAGGGTTATATTTACTCTACAGAAATGCAAGTTTAATGAATCTTCAAACTGCATTAAAAAAAAACGCACATCAGCACATTTGCCAACATTTTGAACTATTCATTTTTATAACTTTCTGCTTCGTCTCACCAACACTTTCCAATGACCTAAATACACAAGTTGGTCATTATTCACGGTGACACTGGCAAATGCTTAAAGGGCATAAAAGCCTTGAAAAGCGGTAACACCTCAAATGGTTGAGCCAATAATATATTTTCGGCTTTCCTCCGCCGCACTTACAACGTCCCCAAAACGCTGATCGAGTAAGTGTGAGAATGACTCACTAACGATTCATTTAAACTAGAACACGATGCATACAATCCAGGAAACATGTGTATAACACATGGAGTACCTCTATTCTGATTGCATCAGTCCCATTAACACATTCAGAAAGTGAAAATTCTAATTAAAAAGGTTTACAGCTCGTACATTTCATCACAGTACCTCTCAGCTCATTACAAAAGAATCAGTGCTCAAAATGGCTTCCTTTTAAGTTCTCTCAAACTTTCAGCGCAGGCAGCACAGCTGAGGGCAAACGTCTAGACACAGCTTTGCTTTGGGTGCAGGTGATTAGGCAACACGAGGGACTGAGGCGATGTTATTCCCCAAGTTCTCTTATACTCTATGGGGTTCTCTAAATAAGGTCTGCGGAGGTTCCACGCCACGAGGCTGCTTACAGCCCTGTCTCTGCTCCAACTGATCACTACACGTCAATCTAACATGAGCATGATAAATGTCACTCATCGTTATGCCAGTTGTGGATGCAGCTTTTTATTTTTGTTTGTGTATGAGAGCGAGGGTGTCAGCGTCTATGAGCCAACACAGCTGCTATCTATTGCCTCCTGCCTTGCCTTGTGGATTGTCATTGTAATGTTTGTGACATCAAGTGGACAAACGTGAAACTGCAGGCTCCACTTGTTTATTCTCTGACTTACATGATCACAAAACTTGTTTATTGTTAAGAAACCTGCAACAAAATATCAAGCCAACGTGCGTTAATTTATGTACTTAGCACTTTGAGAATGTGTGCTGTACTCCTGTTCTTTTGCATAAGCTTGACAGCGTCTCTTTAGGCTAGGTGGTGGTGGGGGAGAGGTGTGTATCATTTTTACCACAAACAAACACAACTTTTAAGGTCGCACCACGCTGTGTTTTGGTAAAGCTCAAATGCATGTTCGAGGGTCTTCCTTCCCCGTCATCCCTTTCATCTCAAGTTATTATAGCCATGTGAAAGAATAATAGATCATCCATTGATGTATGAGCCCAATTCTATCTGGACGTCTCCCATTGTATCATTCAGACGTGGCTTGTTTGATGTACAGCAGGGCATGCTAATACAATCTGGGCACTCATGCGTACGTCTGCAGGAGTATTTCCCATTAATACTTCACAAAGGCACTCACTCAATGGAGCAACACAAAGTGCAATAGGTAGTTTACTCTCACTTTGCATCTGCGTGTATTTGTCTTTCAATACGTGTAGAGCCAGCTGTGCACATATGGGGCCCTTTGGGTGTTTTTTGTGTGCATGTGTGCATTCCCCCACAGTGCAGTGTCAGGCGTAAAAGCAAAATCACAGACCATCCTGTGGCCCTGCTCCCTGACTATTAATATTTAAAGAGAGTATGATGCACCTTCACACACAAACACACACAAACACCCACACACTCAAATACACATGTACAATAGCCAAGGCACAAAGAAGAAGTTTGGGATGGACCCAGAGGTATGGATACCCTAAGGCATTGTAACTGTTCCACTCAGTGATCCTGCAGTGTATACGCAGTTGGAGAGGAGCATCCATCTCTTTCTAGAATGATTTACTAACACACTGTATCTCTGTTGGCACAGCTCACACAGCAATGCCAACACACCCAGATACGCTTGACGAGGAAAACAAAAGTGGAAAAACGGACAGAAAATGATAATGCACGGTGAAGGGTTGCAAACACGGAGAGCAGATTTTTTTTAAATAATGACAGAAGCGTGACATTATGGAGCAGATTTTCCAGTAAACAAGAGCAGGTAGATGTGTTTGAAACACTTAACTACATTCATCTGGCCGGTAATGAAACAGTCACAGAGTGCAACAAATCAAACACCAAACTGATTCCACCATTTTTACAAGGTTTCTACGGTCTCTGACTGTCTCCATAACTGACACGATTTTACAAAGGTGAGTGTTGCAGGATTAAAAGTCCTTTTTACCTCCTTTTTTGAACTCAATAAACTCCAGAGTGGGTGTTACTTCGGTTATCACATGTCCTCCAAATCTAGTCCGTCTAAAGGTTGCAGTTACTACTTACTATTCAGTTTGACATCGTTTAACAAGAGCTTAACAAGCCGGCAAAACTAAATGTGCTCATGTTTTATGAATAACATTGAAATGCTCCTTTAATGTTACGTCATCAATAATTAAACTCTTCTAAAGACAATGCCTTTGGATATGAAACTACTAAATCGTGATACCCACATACTTTTCATGTATAGTGTTGAATAAAGAAAAATAATATGTAAAAAAAATCAAGATAACTTTTTCCACTGTTTTATACATTATATGTATGGTACAATTTAAAGAATTAAATATTTCTTATCTTAAAGAATATGAAGAGAAAAAAGGTGTGTTTCATTAATGGTGAAAAAAAGAACTCTTGTCATATGTTGTTGAATGGAGTTGACTTGAATAATTAGTCTCACAGTAATGGGTCCAACATAGAGCAGCCAGTAATGGGCCTGCTGCCATTTACTCCTCTTTCAGTCATCATCAATAATGTAACTCCATTTACTCTACAGCTTCTCTACAAAGGCTGCTACTGAGAGGAGTTTGTCTCTTTCCATCAGTGCTCAGGCCTAAAAGGTGAGAGTAGAACGTGTGTGTGTGTGTGTGCGTGTGTGTGTGTGTGTGTGTGTGTGTGTGTGTGTGTGTGTGTGTGTGTGTGTGTGTGTGTGTGTGTGTGTGTGTGTGTGTGTGTCTAATACAGTGTTTGGTGGGGTGAGATATTTTGTAACTGTGACTCAGAGGTCAAGCCTGACTCACGAGGTTAGAGCTGCTGATTGCTGGATTCGTACATGAGAGGTGTGAGGAGAGTTCTGCAAAGGAAATTAGAAAACCTCATGACTGGTGTGATGGAGGCACAAAGCTGTGTGTGTGTGTGTGCGTGTGTGTGTGTGTGTGTGTGTGTGAGAGAGAGAGAGGGAGAGGAAAGAGAAGTTGGTCCAACAAAAGAGAGTTTAGCATTGTTTGACTTTGAGTAAAAACTGTCAGTCTTTTATCTCTCCTCATCAGTGTAATTCCTCGTGATTAACAACCTATAGTGCCGAAGCAAACAAAAGAACAAAAGCATCTTTTAGAATTAACCTATTCTAAAAGGTTATCGAAGTTTCACATGATCCTTTATTTATCCCAACTTCCATTACAAAGCCAATCATCTTTGCTATGGTTCCCTGATTTTATCATTATGAAGCAATTGTTCCCTCCCAGGAACTCATCAAAGAGGGTTAAACAACAAATCTACTCTTTCATTGGGAGAAAATAGTGCTGAAATGAACTTGCAAGTACGTCTGTAACGGAGCTATTTAAATGGGGAAAGCACCGTCTACTGGCCACATTCAGGAACAGCAACTGAGTGATGGTGGGGGAGTTTGGTGGATGGTTGTGAATTCTAAATACGGAGGTTGCTCCGACAGTTTGAGTACATGCCTGAAGCACAGAAAGTCAGCTATGACTCAGAAGAGTTGCTGATTTCATTTTCAATAAAACAACATGACTCATAAAACTACAAAATGAGTGAAACATAATGCAGGTGCAGGGCTCACATGAACAACTAATCTAAGCAAATATTTTTATTAGGAAAGATTGTTAACAGCAAAGACCTTTCTGATATGATATTCGATCTAATAGCTAAATTAGACTCCAAGCTCAAAGGACTTGATTATGAACAGTATTTGGGGAGTTTTAGACGTCTACTACAGACTACTCAGATCTTTATTATAATTAATTTGCCACATCAGGGCGATGATGTGAAGGTCTTCGTTAACAATATTCAAACCAAAGACTGAAAATCAACAATCTGAGATACAAACATCACCTCATCTTTGCCTCACAGTTCCTCAAAAGTCTGCATTTTCTCTGCACTGTATCAGTCAGTCAGATCTGTGTGAGTGGGTTCAGTCTTGATCACCCCCACCCCTCTGTTAACTGACCTTAACAGTTTGACTAACCTCTGAGCTTCGGAGGAGAGGCACTTGTTCTTCTCTCATATGGGAACACTATGTATTTTTGCTCTGGTAGGAGGCTAATACAGCGTGATTGGATCGACTTGGCTGACACTGTGTGTGTGTGTTTGTGATCTCAGCAGAGCGTCAGTGGATGATAGGGGTCAGTGACACTGCTTGTTTCTTGCTGGGCAGGAGCTCGCAGAGCAGAAAAGCGTCTGGAAATAAGGTCTATGAAAACGACCTGAAGCTTTCATCTGTCTATCATCAATACACTCCCACACAGCACACATGTAGAGGCACAAACACACTGTACACTATTAGTAGTACACTACTTTTTGCATAGGCTTCATTTATCATATTGTTTATAATTCATTATTATCACAGCTTGAAGGTAATAGTTTCAAAAATGTGGTTTTCAGTCTCCATGGGGTCAATGTCCTCACTTTAGAAAAGATACGAAAAGAAAAGAGAAGAAGAACATTGTATTCATAACGGCCTCAACTAGCTATTAAATGGAGAGCTGTGTCAAACGAAATCAAGCCTTTTAACTGTAGTGCACATTTAAAATCTCAAGGCAGAGGCAGTCATGGTCGAAAGATGTCTTATATTTGGTTCTTCTATCATATAACACAGGATGAATAAAGAGTCTAGAGGACACTGGTGACTGGGCTTCTATTTCCTGCTTTAGATACTTGAACCTCACATGTTACACGGTTTCTTGTAGACATGATGAAATACAAACTGTGGGACTAAAAAAGGCTTAGATATGCTGTTTGATTTCATGGCTTTCCTGTACATAAAGATGCAGTGTATGTCTTTATAAATAAGGTTTAAATCATTATTACTTATTCGTATGATTACAAAAAAAAAGGGGATCTCAAGGGACTCTTTTCATCATCTCATATCTTAAAAGCTCTTCTTTCTTTTGATATTGGCTCATCCTCTTCCTGTCTCACCCCTTTGAGCCTTTCTTCTTCCTTTAGCTTTGCTGAGAATGTCAGAAACACCAGGTATCACTTTCTTCCATCAGTGTTTCCTGTTCTTAACCACCTTTAGAAGGTTTAGCTCAGTTAGGCTTTAACAGATGAACAGTGTCTCCCTTTGTCTGCCGTAAAACAATCAATCATCACACCCAATCTAGCCTTGCAGCAATCTAACATAAAGTGCAACCTATGAATCTTTCTGCGGTTGACTCGTTTATTTATGTTACTAAATGAATCTGGAAATGATTTGTTTTAGGAGGGAGGTTGAATGTAGCACGTTTAATGATGCAGGGAGATAAAAGACAACCTCTTTGACCCTGACTGTTTCAGCACAGCGTCAATCATTACATAAACATGCTGTGCAGCTCAGAGCTGTCCAAACCTATGAAGAAATATTTCTTAGATATTAACAAAGTTTTGGAAACTGTCAGGCACCTTGCCACCGGGTTGTGGGAAAGTGTTCAAAAGGGATGCAGAGGATATCTCAAATATTGTCTTTGTTTTAAACTTGCACGATTTTTGGCTTGAATATCACTCTGACTTCAGTTGTGATCTCACTACAGTGAAATCGTGCAGCTGGTATATGCAGAAGATATACATAGATTAAATAACCTAAATACTACATGAGGAACATTTCAAAGAAAAACAGAGAGATTATGATGACAACTTCTGTCTGCTGTTAAAAAAAGCATGCAAGTTTCCATAAATTAAGATGACAGCCCGTTCTTTACATGATTATTTATATGATAAGGTGGTGGAGTTTTTACCTTCCACACAGGAGGGTCTGGCGTTGGTGGTGCCAGCAACCTGCCCAGGAAAACAGGAACACTTGACGGTTTGAGAGCGCTCCTCAATCTTATTCTTGTTACAGCAGCGATGGTTAGCCACCACCTCACACGTCCCCTGCTTCACCTGGTACGAGACTGAGACAGAGAGAGGAAAAAAAACAGAAAGGGTTAGTTTGTTTTTTTAGCGAGAAATTCTTCCATTTGTAATATGGCTTATTGGTGTTTACTCCAAAACAATTGAGTTTAAATTCAAATTATTTTGAGCCGCAAAAACAATCAAATACAAATACACCGCAAATACACCACAACAGCTCCTCAGAGGATTAAACAAATCTGCAGAATTATTTGCTTTTGTATAAACTCTTCAATTTATTCCCGTCTCACACTCTCGCATTCACGAGTAAACACTCTTTAGCGATACTTTGCTTTTATTCTCAGCCCAGTGCCCTCATTAACATAGAGACAGAAGCAGCTCTAATGCTATCACTGTGAGCAGGAGGGGGTATGGGGGGGATTTTGAATTCATCTTTTTTTTTTACTCTGTATGACATAATAGGCTACTATATATATATATATATATATATATATATATATATATATACACACACACACACACACACACACACACACACACACACACACACCATAAGGAGAGAACACACCTGTAAATTATGTCAAGGACAAATTTGGTAGTGCGAGACACACTGAATCTCTGTGTTTATGCGAGGAAGTAGAAACAGAAACCTTTGCACTGTCATCCACACATCTTCACATATGTCTTCAGCCTGTGTTTATTCCTGTTTCTGGTAGTTATATTTATACGAGGATAATTGTTATCTACCTGTCATCTTCAACACACAAACAACATCTTATCTCCCTTGATTATCTTGACACTTCCGGGGGGGGACTTTGGTTCGCTTAATTAACACATTGTCTTGACAATAATTAGACAGAAGGACGCGCTTAACTTAGAGTGATTTTGAACACAAACCTTTCTCCCCAGTGGCTTTATATCAATGTGAGTGTGAAGTTACTGAAACCATGCGCTTTGAATCTGAATGATTTAGCCTCAAACACTTGGTTATCCTAATTGTTCATACGGGATCTGTGTTTTGTTATTTAGAATATCGATTAAAAGACAAACGCGGCTTCATGCCCATTCTAGAATCTTGCAGGGACAGGTATGTGCAGACTTCTGAAGCATGTGTTGGCGTATAGTGTGTTCATGCAAAATACAGCAGCGTGTGGGTGCTGCAAGGATAGTGTGTGAATAGGCTTATGTAAATGTAATGCAGTGTGTTCTGCATAATGTGTATGCTAATGTTACATTTCACTCGGCACATTAAACTCATGAACGTCTTAGGAGGAGGGTTTTGTAGCCACCTAAAAGAAAACCTGTCGAGCGCAAATGTTGTGTAAAATGTTTAGTATATCTAATCTTCGCTCATGGCTTCTGAACAGATACCAGCTGCCTTATCTTTTCGCTCCCAAAGCTTGTCGCGCACTCCTGAGAGTCTCTGGCATGGTTTCCCGAGCAAAGCAAACCCTGCTGGCGACATTACTACCTATAAGCCTCTTTACAGCCCTGGAAAACCCTTGGTTATACTGTACCATAAGCCCAGATTTCGTTTATGTACGTGACTTTACCCAGACTCCAAAACTTTTCACGCTCAGCTGAATGAGATTTGCAGGCAGACAGAAATACACACACACACAGAGCTGTACACACAAAAACACAGCATGCACACACACACACACACACAGACTGCAGAGGGTTCCATTTCTGCAGGCCATGGCCTCTCTCATCCTTTCTGATTTAAAGTTTGTTTGTTCTCTTCTCCAGAGAGCCCCATCAATGATCCCAGGCTCTCTAAGGGCGCCCCTCCGCTATCATCCCTTCACTTTCATTTCCCTCACTCCTCTGGCTGAGGCTCTCATGAGGATGAAGCAGCTGCCATATAACCTCCTCACACACGCACATCAACACACTCATGCATGCACAAGCACATAAAACTCATATCTACTGATAAGAACCTCAGATTTAATAAAACGGTGACTGGAATAAAAACTATCTGCGCAGCTGTAATTAGAATAATCAGAATGAAAGCACAGAGTAGCAATGTAAATTAATGAAAGTCTAATTCAAACACCATCAACTTGCCTTTGTTTTAATCAGACCCGCGCCCTCTCTGATTATCATTACTCTGTACTGAGAATTCATTCTATTGTTAGCGCTGAGCGGAGACTTGGTGAGTCAATCGGCTGCCCTCATCTCAGAAACAGGCAGCTTGTTAGTGAGAAGGAAAGAGAGAGAGAGAGAGAGAGAGAGAGAGAGAGAGAGAGAGAGAGGGAGAGGGAGTCAAACAGGTGGAGGAGAAGTGGTGTCAGAGAACAAAGAGTGGATCGCCTCCTGCTAGCATAATGAGGTCAGCAGGTTCACAGGTCTCCTCTCTTTAGTGCTTAAATCAGGCCTGGGCTGAGGCTGTTTGTATTTAAATCTGTAAAGCTTTAAGGGTTTCCATGCAGGGAAGGTTAAACCCACCTGAACTTCATTTATGCAACTTTTTTTGTGTCCATCAAACTTGGTATGATAATTAAACCTTAAAAAGTGTGAATTCAGCCTCTCATAGGGCTTCATAAGGTGAAGTAAAGCCCACATTTCTGATTTCTGTTTTCAAGGTTAAAAGACTTCAGTTTTCTTTCAGCACCAATGATAATGTGCTGGACAAGACCAATACACCTGAATAATCTGTGCAAACTTCAGCATAAGTAGATTGATTCCACAACATAGACAGTGTTGTATTTTTATTTTTTTTAATTATATTTCAGTGTTTAAGTTTCAGCTCTTTTTTAGCACAAATGTTCTTCTGTTTAAGAATACAGAGTTCAGTCAAAGTCGATAGAAAGAGCGACAGTTGAGCTTAAAAGAAAACCAATCTGGTTGCCAACTAACAAAAAGTTACACCCAATTTTGTGTCTTGTAGCAATGCTCCTCCTGGATGTAATGTTGGATATTGTAGAGCATGAATTGACATATGTTCCTGTTGTGTTAGTTGTATCTGACAGAACACAGACGTAGCTGAAGCCTTTCATATTTGCTTTTACAAGAATAAGTTAAGCTAAGCTTGCAACTGACTTTCTGCCGCCAATTGCAGATTAAGACCCTAGCGTTTTAAAATCTGAGTTCTCAGGAGTCATGTTGTTTCTGCAGGGTCTTCAATTCCCCATCCTAATGTCCTTGTAATAAAATACATAGGAGAGACTTTACAACGGATTTTATACTACCAGCTATGTTTTATTCCTGTACAAATGTTTAGTGTGATTTTCTGCTAATGTTGAATATGCCAAATACAATTTATAGCCTGCTGACGTTTCACTCTTAGCCCTAAAGATGGTTGTGTCTGGAGTTTCTTCAGACTTAAATTTCTCCACAAGGGTGAATTGATTTTTTTACCATTCAAAGTGGATTTTATTCTCCCTCCTGATTCGTACTTTGTTTCAATTTGAATATCCTGTACAGATGTGTTGCAATGTCAGAGAAATAAGATCTAGTGACCTCTGACCGTGCATAGGAATGACCCAAAGTTGATTAACAGCTAGCAGTAGCCAAAGTCCATCCTTCTGAATTGAGACAGTAAAAAAACAAGGACGAGTCCCAGACATCAGATGTGGTCTTGAGTGCAGACTGAAGTACTGCAGCTTGGCTGTGAGCCCTCTCAGTTTTGTCTTCTTCCCAGTTCAGAGAGCTACTGCCTCTCGCCCCTCATCTGCTTAAGATTCATGTGCGGAGCGGTCAGCCTCCAGCTATAAACACATAATAACAGTGTATCTAATGTCTCAGTGTTGCCTCTAAACCATTTTGTTATGGCCGTTTCAATGTAATAGAGCCCTGCAAACGCTGAGATGAAAAGACTTCTCGAGCACAGCTAAATGCTTCTATCCCCACGACAGGCAGAAGGGGAGGCAGGGAGGTGGGGGGCGGCAACAGTAGCTGGGCAGCCAACAAACCTAGATACCTTGAACTGATGGGTTAGTCAGGCGATTGATGTAGTCTGACAGACACGGGCAGGCAGGAGCATTGTGCAATTTATCAAAAAGCTGTGTCTTTCCCCTGTCAATACCTGACAAGCATGTCTGCCACTATGAAAGGCCAGATATCTCGCAAAATCTGTCGGAGGTGGCAAAGTCGATGTAGAGGGGACACACTACAGGACCAGAGTTGTAAGTTTCAAAAGAGTAAGAAATGATTAGTTAAGTGGAACAAGATGGGGAGACATGTGGGATCTCTTCACATAGAATTTCTATTGGATCAACATATTTATTCATAGGTTGCAGTATCCCTTTCTTTATTTGCCATATAAGATCACTCGCTGCCCCTCCTCACCCTCCTTCACTGTCCTCACTTGGTTCCTCTCCTCCTCACCCAGACCCTACACATCCCATCAATTGCTCTGACATTATCAGCATTTAACAGGCCCAAAGGCTTTATGGTAATTAGCGAAACAGGTCCCTGGTACGGCTGAATAGTCCTTCGCAACAAAATCTATTCCTAATAAAAAAGAACCTGCTCTCTACGGCCATGCCCTGCTGTGATTTTTTTTAAGGAGACATTTTAAAAGCAGCCTCAGATAAGAACACACAAACGGCTGTATCTGATACTTAAATATTAGTGGTTGCAGATGCACACAGTTGTGTTTTAAAAAAGCTTGCTTAATTCTAAGTGCATGAGTATGAGATTAACCTTGACAGACACTATTGTCATGGAGAAAGAGCGTGAGACAACGAGGGCACACAAGGTCCCCGAATACTTCATGAATTTATGCAGAAATGTATCTGTCTTAGAATTTAAAATATCACTTCAACCACGGATTAGCAGTTTGGCACAGAAGCCGAAAGAAAATTGGTTATGTTCGTATAAACAAGCTGTGGAAAGTTGCCATAAACACAATTAGATTTTGCAGAATGAAGTATATCACTTTTGAAAGTGACTGACTGAACTGCTGGTCCAAGATAATCAAATTTCAGGCATTCAAGCAAGAAAAGAAAAAAGGGGCATATGAGATATTCTTGCATGAAATTTAATTATCAGAATACAGGAGAATGTGGCACGGAGCTCTGAAGGCATGATCAATCATTTCACCAGCAAAAAATGCACTTTGAATAAGAGAGCATTTTAAGTCGGAGTGACTAATTATTTGTGTAGGATTACCTTGACAGCTCCTGGAATGCTATATCTTGTGCGACCTGTTTATAAATTTCTCAGTGTAATTACGGTGAAATACAGTTTAAGAGTAAATAGTTAAGCATAAAAAAATCACAAGGGCTGAGCCGAGGTATTTTTTGCTGCATGTTTTGCATGGCTTTCTTAATTTGTCACACTGTCTGGATCTATTTGTGAGAGGGCCAACAGTGAAAATGGCTGTAAGTATACTGTGTACTTTCATTGATAGTTGTTATGCTCTGAGTGTGAATAATATGTCATTGAGTTTAGGTATGGTCACAATGAGGGCAAAGTTTAGAGTTTGCATTTCATTTGCATTCATGTAGTAGGGTTGCCCATCATCCTGTATTAGCAGGGACATCCTGTGTTCCAAACTAAATTGATTTGATTTGTCCCGAGCAGGATGCCCCTTGTCCCATATTTACATTGCTAGTATGTAATCACTAGATGACACCTTACTGATATAGATCAGATCATCAGACACGTCTGTAAAATGACACCTGCCATCCAATCACAGCCCCCATCACATTCATCAGATATACGTATATGCCGTATCTAAAGTGCTGAAATAAGTTCATAGTTTATAATAATCAGTTGCCTTGTGGAGCATCAGTGCAGATAAAAGTATGGATAAAGAGATGAGGTCAGCCTAACACATCATGCTCCTAAAGAGATAATCAAGAAGCATAAAGTTGCAATGTATATCAGAGCATTTTTGTGACAAAAGACTGCTTGAAGATGTCAAGGGCAGTACGAAATAAAAAAGGAAACTTAGTTAGTCACATCTCTCTTTAAAACCCTTTTTTTTAGCTCTTTTTATTTTTATTCCAACCTGAGAATTATCTTTTTTTAATTTAATCAGTGTCCAGGGACTGTCAGAGGTCAATGGGGTTAAAGGGGTCCAAGTTAAGAGACACATTTATTTCCTTTATAATAATAGCCTAATTTTATCTTTAAGTAACACAATGACATAATGTAACTCTTGTGGTCAGTATATCATTCACTTGCTGAAATAAACAAATCTAAAATTATTCTCAGATGCTGTGGTATCATTTGTCAGTTTAGGGGTGGTTTTGGGGAGAAAATAGGGTTTATTAATATAAACTTACATAATAAAAAGTTTTAGCAATACATATCAAATTATTATTATTATTATTATTAATCATATACACAAGATCCACACATCATAACTAAACCGTTGTGTCACTAAGCTCCAAAAATATATTTTAAAAAGTTGGCAACATTAATTAATTAACATTAAGATGCAAGGTGTCTGCAGGTCAAATGAACATAGGAGCCTTAATAAAATATACATACTTACAGAGGAGTATTTTTTGACCTCTAGAGCCATCATGTGGCAGTAAATGGTACATCACCGACTACACGGTTCAAACATATGACTCACTGACCTGCCAACAAAGCAGCAGTAAAAACACTTAGAACACGTAGAAAACACAGAAATTGTCTCCAGCAGTCATAATGTAAAGCCAATTATTTTTTAGCTTCAAACAACTGTGTGTTTATGTGTGTATCATGTTGGTATTCACAGCCAACAGGTCCTAAACTTCCACCAATTAGAGTAAAACGTCTAATAAGAAGTGTAGTCAGTTTGGGAGCGACTCATCTTGTTTCACAGCCAGAGAGAAATAAAAAGGGGGCGGGCATTCATGCTGACCTTCACAATACACAGGGCCTGCAATTAGCGATGTCCCTGCCGTAAGCATGCTGCCTCCTCTCCGTCAAAAGGAAACTAATACAATCACTTAGTGCACAGGCTGATGCTGGCAGCATTTCTGTGGCACGTAAAGGTCACTTTGCAAAACAGGAGCTGTGAGAGGACAGAAAAACCGAGAGATAATTAAGGAAATTGTCATAATTAAGAGCGAGGAAGAGGTGGCTTGGGAGGCCGTCGCTAACAAGTCAAGGCGCAACATGCTGTGACTCAGCACAACTGACCCTGCACAGCTCGATGAAATAATAAGAATGTCTTGGTCAGTCTTTGGCTGCCTGTTTTTTTAAAGGGTTTAGGAAATTAACAACAGAGAGTAAATGTATTTTGTGGGCTTCATTAGGTCAGCACTGATGATGATTTTCTATCTTTTTTTCAGAGATTTATTGTTGAAAAAATTAAGTGCTGCTTTGGTTGAAGGGTTTACGCGATGCATATAATGTAAGCCCTGGCAATTAAAAGCCTGAGGATTAGAAGTCAAGAGAGCCCTTATGGCCTACATGGTCCTACATGAGACATGCTTCTTATTCTATAGCAGAACTAACTCACCAGGCCGCTTCAGAACAACAGCTCCATCCCTGAAAGCGCTCTGAAAATATCAGATCACACCCACACTGATCTATCTGTGTTGGCAGCTCATGACAGCTTAAGTGCCATTTATATCTACACGGGCTCGATCAGTCAAACCGCGGTGTGTTTGCATCCAAGTCCAAAACGAGGTCCTGTCTAGATTACATTATGTCAAAGTCAAGCACAGGGGCGAATTGTCCTGGCTCAGACCCCCTCCTGCAGGATGGGGATGAGTCAGTCAGACACAGGCTTATGGAACATGTGTTGAACCCCCACAGTGACAGTGTAATTAACCTCTCCGGGGGTTGGACGGAGGGTGCAGAGCAAGACCTGGTGTACCTGTCGATCCCCGATGGTTACGGCTGCCAGCAGACAACGGGTCAACGCAGAGCATCAGAAAGGCAACGAGGAAGGCCACCTGCAAAGGCCAAGCTGACCTCCCCCACAGTTTCATCCTGGCAGAGAGAGAGAGGGGCAACGAGGGAAAAATAAGGGAAGTGGAGGACAAGGAAAGGGTATGAGAGGAGGTCCACATAAAGCCAGAAGGCAGAGGAGCGAGGCAAACAAAGAGTATTGCTTTTTCAACAGCAGAAACAATGTTTGAGGTGAGATAACAGAGGTCAAAGGAAAAGAACGACAAGCAGGAGAACACAGTTGACCTGAGGAAAATATTCTGCAGACACAAATATTGTCAGTAAATCTTACCAACTAGATCTAACAGTTTGCTTTAGTGCCAATTTACAATCAAATAAAGATCCACTTGTACAATTTGGAAGAAGCCAATCAGATTAACATTTAGTTTGTGTTGGTTAAAGCGTAAAATAAAGCCTGCTCAATCTATATTTGTATGTGGATTAAAACCACAACTAATTGTAGTTTTTATTGTTGACTGTTACAGCAATTATATTCTTGATTAAATGATTCATCATTTGTCAATTAAATGCCAAAAATGAATAAATCATCCATCACATCCCTTTCCCAAAGCAAAAAGTGTTTTCATTTAATTGCTTTATTTGTTGGATCAACATTCTCAAAGATAATCCATGACTAATATATATATATATGGTTAAAAAAAACAGCTAAATTAATCACAGAAACAATCAATTATGATGATGGTTGCTGATTAGTTTTCGGTGAAGCATTTCAGCTCTGTGGCTCTTTGGATGTTGATATTGATGAAATGACCTACTGATTAATGGAATAAAATCAATCAACCAAAAATGAGCACTAAGCAGTTGTGGTACTCGATCAATCCTTTTCAGATGCTTTCAGCATAATTGTTGGGTTTTGCATATTTTCAATACATTTTCTGTTTTGTGTTAACTGTTCAAATATCTTTGAAGAACATCTTTTGTTTGCATTTTCTTGAGCAAATACAAAATCATTCAGACAAGTTGATAAGCAAGGAAATAATCATGCCCTCGTTCAAAATGTATTCCTCCTTAATGGGAATCTGCACAGGCTATGGTCTGACCTGTTGGTCGTCTCTGTCTTCTCTGATCTCTTTTCCCCTCAGCAGCTCCTCTATGAACAGGGTGCACAGGCCATGGCTGCATCCAGTCACTGCTCAGCCATCCTCCTCCTCCTTCTTCTACCTATTCCTCCTGCTTCTCCTTCTCCTCACCTCAAACAGAAGAAGCCCCCTGGAGAGAAGAGGTACAAAGACAAAGGTCAGAGAGGCTCGCCTGCCCCAGGGTTCCTCAGAGGCCTCCAATGGCCTTGTATGACGGTTTACAGTAGAGCACACACACAAACACACACACACACACACACACACACACACACACACACACACACACACACACACACACACACACACACAAACACACACACACACAGTGGTAGAGATGTGAAGGCCTACATTCTGTCAGATCCATTGTTTACAATGGCTTCACCTACCCCCAGGCGGAATGTGATCCCCACTCTAGACATCACATGCAGCTCTTCCCATGTTTTTCTCCCTCTCCTGCAAACGCTCACACACACACAAACCCACACTCACTCATCAGTCTTTGACATACACACAAGGACTGACACATTACACATTAAAACAAGGTGCAACATTAAAAACATGCAACTCCATGAATCAATCATTTACAGCAAATCAAATAATGAAACTATCAATAAATGCAAGTTCTTTCTCTACACACACACCCAAGCACACACACACTAACACTCACGCACTTGCAAAGTGTTTGCAAGGTAAATTCAAACAGTGTAGATGACAGAATAAAGACTCCCTCATTACAGTTGAGTGACAACTTCTGATGCGTGTGCACTTCTTAATACAATCACACACACAGGCACAGAGTCAATTATCATCCTGGCAAAAGTGTGTGTGTCAACCAGTCTATGGTGTCAACACGGCTCTCTTGACAAAGGGACTTACTCTGCAATCTAAATGAAAGACAACAGATTCACATTACGACCAAAATGCTCTCCCCTCCTCAAACCTTCATTATTCATCATCACTCATTGATATGCAGCTCAGCCCGCTGCTGTGCTCAGGAACTTCCTAGGAGTGTGTGTCAGCTCTAACCAGGCCTAATACCTCCGCTCAGACAACAGTGTAGTGCCACTGCCCCCTGGTGGGCAACAAACGTACTGCAACACCTGTGACGAGTGGAGAAAAGATACAGTACCATAGATACATGTGTATATTTTTAAGTTTCACTACTGAAGAGACAAAATAGCAGGACAGTAAAGAGAGAGTAAGTTACAGAGATGATAATCAAACAGAGATTCAGGTCAGAGAGAAAAAGTCAAGATTAGAGGTAGGCTGCATAGAAAAGACAAGGTGAAAAGATAAGAGAGGGAAATTTAGTGTGGATGAAAGAAAAAAACAAATTTAGGAAAAAGGAAAATGAATTCATGAATTAAGTGTAGATTTCAGTATAAATAAAATAATATATTATTTAAGCAGACTGCTTCACAAATGTGTGAAAAGTAGTGTTTGCTTGAGTGCCTTTGTATATGTACTCCTGCAGAGATGCAAACAAGTTACAGTGCTCCGAAAGTGAAACGAAGCTTTGCACTTGCATTGACATGGACAGCAATCAAACATTGGTGCGGGATGAATTTGCATTTGTGTGGATTTGTTTGAATATTTCTAACTGTGTGCCTTTGTGTGTGTAATGTGCCTTCTGTCAGCACAGTATGTGGAAGAATGCAAGGTGCATGTACTGTATGTGCAGTGGGATTAAGCATGCTGCATGGCAGCACGATGGCCCATTTCTTATTCTCTTTTTAAAGACTGGGCTGTGGCATGAATTTTTATCAGCTTTATACACTGAGACACATACACTCATTAAAAGAGCACACGTGTAGAATTTTCAGAGTGAGAATGTTTGTAGCCTCCAGATGTAGTTCAGTTTTGAGGGACAAAAAAACAACCTATCAGTCACAGAAACGGTGTCGCCTCTACTGGGTCCAAAGTTCTGTGCGGATTGTGGCTTTATAACAGAGCCATGAATAGGGTAACGAGTAACAATAATAATAAACATTCTCATAAACACACATTTTACAGAACACTCGTGTTGCAGCGGTCTGAAATGTCCCTTAATAAGGAAGCAGAGGTGTGTGAGGGGCTCAGGTGGTCATCAAAGCTCTGAGGAATTGTTGGACTTGGCAGCAGCAAGGACCCGCACACACACACATATACACACACATACATGTTACCAAGCGGAGCAGAGACATGCTCAAGATTATCAGGGAACATCAAGTCTCACTCTTTCTAAAATGATCCCCCTGTTGAATATCACCCTCTGCACCACCCCGCTCGCTCTCTGTGTCTCTGTGGACAAATGGGCTGATTTGTGTCATTTCTCGCTGTAATCTCACTGAAGTGATAGGAGGGCTCATTGACATGCAGTGATACAATCCCACCTCTGCCACAAATATAAATCTGTGTGAGCAGCATCTAAACAGCATCATCTGCCAGCACACTGAAAGACAAACATACGCATGTACATAAAACACCTCATGCGATACATCAGGGAACATGTATGCGACACCTCAAGCAGTGAGAAACTTTCTGCATGATGGGGATTTTACTGACACTCACAGGGTTTCTATACTTTACCAGAACACAGTGGCGATTCTAGAGCATGTTGGGGCCCTAGGCAAAAATTATAATTAAGGCCCCTTCTACCAGCACTCATTGTTATTTTCCACTTTCTTTTTTCACTCCTATACAAATACTTCCTCTTCATTTTCATTTTCCTTTTGCAACTTTCATTGACAAACTTTGGTTTTTAAAGCAATAATGCATGGGACAACCAGCAGGGAATAGAGAGTATGTGCTATCAGATGGGGCCCCCTTTGGGAGGTCTCTTACTGTCATTGCCAAATTTGCACATTTATAGGCAATGCTGAGATTTAAGGTTTGTCAACCCTTGGGTGCACGCTGCTGTCCTGGGGTCCCATTCCGTTGCCTGTCTCGCCTATTGACAAGCAGCAGCACCTCTACTAGAACAGAACAAGCCGTTCCTTCAGCTTCTGTAAGAATAGAAACTTCCCCTCTGCTTTATAAACACGCTGTCACATATGAAGTGAAACTGAGAGTGTTTTTGTAAATATCTCTGGTCTAAGGTTCCTAACTTTCAATGTATCTCTTATAGGACATATTGCATTCTGAATACAAAGTGCTGCTTATCAGAGTTCATACATGTCTAAAGTCTGTATCAGATCATCATCAGACTGTAATTGAAAGATAACAACTACAGTTATCAGGAGTATTCATTTAACAGTTCGGTGGAGAGTCATTCTTGATGATCAGGATAATGAGTTTGTTGATCTTCCACATTTAATGAGTCTGCTGCTACATTGAAAACCACTGCCGGAAAATGTTCTATTCTTAATACTTCAACATAGAAGAAAAACATTCCAGCTCTTCCTTTTTTTTTTTACTCCTGCGAATCAAAGTAAAAATGAGCAGGATGATCCAACGCATTAGAATTAACTGAGCATATTCACACTCACTTTTTAAAATCTAACGGCCCTTTCCTCCCTCCTCTGCACGTAGTTTCTTGGCTATGTTTCAATCCTACGTTCATAAAAAAATCATGTTCTTGCTTTGAGCCTCACAGTGAGGCTGCTCTGTGTCGAGCAGTAACTTTTGTGATGCTCTGTATTGTTTTTAAACCTTTTTGATTCTTTAATTCAATATGTTTCACTGTAACACACAGACAGCTTGGTCACGTGCTGAGAGTAATGCTTTTAAATGACCAATTTAAATGACCTTTATTGGCCATAGGTAGATTTGTTTTCTGAAACGTCTTTAATACAGTAAGATAGCAGAGGATGATCTACCCTACAGCAGCAAACTGTAAAAATAAGAAGTCTGTGTTTCAGGCAAAGTTTTGATGTCTAGTGATTCTCTTAATACTTTTTAGGAGGCTTTCTGACTTTCAAGAACATTTTGTCTTTACCAGCATACAAGCTTATCTGGAAGAAAACTCTTGACATTAAATACAAAATGATATAAACATAAATTAATATATGGATCCCATACTGCAACCAAACTGCCTTTTACCTGCGCATAACTGAAAACCACTGAGGCTGTATGATTGAAGACTGCACAAACAACACACCATGTCGCAGTGAGCTGATTTGTGTCCAGACACAGAGCAGGCAGACAAAAAGCATATCAGTGTAAAACAAAGTGCTTCTCCCTAAGGCAGACAGATATTGAAAATGAAACGGGTGAAAGCAAAAAGCCCAATAGAATCTCGTGAAGAGCGTTTCAGATTTCAGCCGATATGCCGTGTATTAATATTCAGTTAGGGTGTATTTTTCCGCCTCAGACTTTTAACCATTAAAGCACGCTGCTCCTCACTATTTCCTCTGAGTCACCGGGCGAGTGTGTGCGTGCATACAACACACATTTTCACCTTGTTAATGAACATATGTGCACTTATATTTGTGTCTAACACTGTCCAAGAATGATTTTGTGTTCAAAAGTGTGCAAGAGTTCCTTTTATTAAAACACAGGGAAGAGGCTTTAAAAATGGAAATCTTGAAAATTTTACAACTAAGTAAAAAACCTAAATTATTTTAATTTGGAGAAAAAGTTTTGTAAATTTTCAAATTTAAAACATTTACTACGTTACATTCTGAATTGGTGCATAAATTACTTTTCATTACTTTTAAAACTATTTTCTTAACATCATGCTCCTTATTGATAATGTGTCTTGTCAACTGCTTGGAACCAATACTTTTAGCACTCTTTCATTTTTCGCATTTGTCACTTTTTTTTTCAACATACATGCAATAGGGACAGAATATACTCTATTAATTAATGCTAAAATATGTAGCTATATAATAATGTGTAGAACCCATAAGAAAAGGCCCACAATGATGTGATGAATGATGCTAATGCTACTCTTCAAGGTCATTATGGTCCATAGTAACTGTACATGTGTATCACTGTAAAAGGTGTGATTCTTTTAGGTTTTTTAATAAAGAAAAAGGATAGAGGTCATTTGAGGGACATTAATAATATTGCATTAGTCCTGCTGCACACCTCTTTTGTTCTTCCAGTAAACCAACAGGCAATAAGGAGGATTCTCTGCTTGGTGAAATGTTTAAGTTTGAAAAAGAGAGGGGAGCAAGTTGTGAGCGAAAGTCTGAATTCAGGAGCATT